TGATAATAAAAATTGGGAGCATTTTCTACCTTTGCTACCATTAGTTTACATTAAAACTAATTTATATTGTGTGTACCAAAGTTTTAATTAGTTAGTATTAATGATGGGTTGTATGAGGTCTGCATAGCAGTTTTGTTTCTTTTTCCAGAATGTAATTAAAAGGCAAGTCATTTTTCAGTGTGTGTTTTCTGAGATAAATGGGTATAAAAGCAGTAGTAGTAAAATTCCTCAGCTTTCTGTTGTCTGCAGCAGACCACTACAGATCTATAGATTTACCAATTTGAGGAGCATAGGCAGCATTTCATGAAATGAGCTGGAGTATAGCATTTTTTTGTGGTTTGTTGGACTGGTGAGTTTAATTCCCAGAACTTTCCAATGTGGTTTTCCTGCCTAATTTAATGGGTTTCACGTACACCTGTCACTGTAATAGTTTCAAGATCTAAAAAATGGTTTATAACGATTTGATTGTTTTCCGAAAGGTTGTATGCTGGAGGGCAAACTTAAATAATTTATAATTGTAAACGTGTGCCTGTCATTTCCAAGATGAAACAGTCTTACTCTTCCTGAAATAGCCTAACCACATCACGGAATATGGCCTTGTAATCTCTAACACAGAAACAACCACTTACACAGCTATTTAGAAAAATATACATGCTTGATAAAGAAAACAAATGTCAAAAGAGTACCGATCTATACACACAACTAGATGGACTGTAATAAAGAGTTTTTTTTGCTTTCTTTATTTGTTTGCTCAACTGCTGAACAGATGGTCACGAAATGTCACGTTCTGTAACATGGTTTGGTCCTTTGAAGAACAATTGTTTTTCCTCCAAAATGTCAGATGCTTGTTGACGGTATAAATTGTTTAAAATTGCCCTCCCCAATGCACATTTCTGGAAGATTATCAAAATAATTTGCAAATCCTGGCAGGCAAGTAAAGGTATTTAGTTTTATATTGATAGATGTACATTATCCACTTTAAACACTATGTCAGACATTACCTTAAATTATTAAATTTTAGGACAAATAAGTAGTATTGTCATCCAGTACTGTAAATGCTGTCAGATTTACATAAAGACACTGGTGCTCAGAAATGATGTCAACAGCCTTGGTGAGTATTTCAAGAGCAAGGTGTATCAGACTACTTATCACCTTAAAAATACATATATTTTCATCAGAAGCCTAAATATTAAACAACATGATTTGAGGTTACAGAAACCCCTTGCCTTGTTGATACATTTGTTATTGAAGTGTAAATAGTTTATGAAAGTTAGCAACACATAATATGCTTGTTGAAGATGTGACACTGCCGCTGACAAATTCAGAAATAATACTGAAAAAAGCTTCAGATAAACAGCAACAAGAAGTTGAATATGAGCTCTGCTAATAATGACCCTTTCTTCTCACACCAGAATAATGCTTGTAGGCCAAATTATATATAGTGTTTTTCTTGGTTCTTCTAGAATATTTCACAGAACTGTGGTGGGAAAGGTGGGGATGTGTAATGTCAGCACATTGTCTCTGCACAGGATGGAACCTTCTTGTGTTTGACCTTTACTTTTGACTTTAAGATAAAATGACTGATAACTACGTTTGTTTTATTGTTTTTATGCAAGATAGTGTTTCTTAAAGTTTCTAAAATATATTTTCTTATTAAATTACTTGCTTCCTTGGTTGTTCATACTATACATGCCATAGTAAAGTTTTTTTGAAGATGCAAAATTGCAGGACGTTGGTGCTGTAGCCACTAAAGAAATCCAGGCTGAGGACCTGTCAAGAAATCCACGTTCAGCCTAATGCATGTTTAAGTGAATTTTTACTGTCTCGTGATATGATTTCCATTGTGTACTTGATAGGTAATAAAATTAAAATGCATTAGTTGATCTGCTTTTAAAGTGTGATCACCATCTATTATAGGACTTAAGAAGATGTTTTATAGACATCACTGATGATGCTTGATAGATGTATAAACATGAGTGAAATTGTCACTTTCTACCATTTAATCTTGAAGCTACTTTTAAGTGTTAATGCAGTCATTTTAAAATGTATTTAATATGACTCATAAACCAATTAACCAAATGATGAAATAAGTCACAGTAATCCAAAACATTTTAAGAGGGCATTACAATACAGTTGTATTCAAATAATTAAGCAAAGATTACAGTAAATATAGTTGCTGCTGGCATGCAAATTCTTTCAGTATTCAGAGCATTTTTCTTGTACATGCTACTTAATTTCTTATTCTAGTGTACATGCAGAGCTGCCAAATTGAAGAGGTTATTTTTAGCACCTCAAGAATGGTGCTTTGTACATTTGTCAACACTCCTTTTTTAAAAATCAAAAGGAAATGAAAATGGAGAATGAAGTTTTATACCTTCAAGGTCTAATGGCGATATAGAAATACAATACATTTAATTTATACATGCTTTTCAAAACATCAGTGCTGCGCAGTAGCACAGGCATTATACAGGCAACAGAATTTAAGAGGATGAGAAAATAACAGCGCAGCAAGTTGACACAATAAAACCAATATTTAAACAATTTCGACATTGAAAGTTTTAAAAATGTCAGCAGTTCCAGTCTTGAATGGATTTGGACATTGAGTTTTGCAGATGAGACACTGCATTATAAAAGGCTCAAGATCCCATTATGTGTAGCCTGGTCTTCAGTAGACTCATGCAATAAACCCATATGATAACCCGGAGCTAGATATTCAGTGTTTTTTTTCTTGTGCAGGACAGCCTTAATGTTTTCTGTATCCTTTATAGGGCATGCAGGTTACATAGAACAAGAATGATATGCTGATGCGGAGTAGTTTGAGCTAGCATATGAGTAGATCTGAGTGTCATCATAGGGAGCTAAAGGCAGCAACATAGAATCCCATAGATAAAATTGGGTAAGTGTGGCATCATCAGAATTGAAAATGGCAGCATATGTAGATTAGCTCTTTTTAGCTAAATAAAAACCCAGCCAACAAAAGGTGGTACTAATAACTCCTAGGTGTTTCCCATATGATCTAGTAGGATGTGGGGACAGTATAAAAAGCTATACTTCGAGAGTCTGGAAGAAGATTATAGTCTTTCCACACTGAAAAGGTTCAAAGAACTCATTAGATTCAAGATTAGATTGTAACTGAGCTGCCACTGCCTGTGTTTTGTGAGAAAAGGCAGTTTGTAAAGGTTGTAACAAGAGGACAAAAGTGTCCAAATCACATTTAGTAGGTCTCAGATTAACCACCAATTCAGTCACGTAAGTAAAAGATAAATTGAAAGACGCCTGTGAAAGCAAGAGTGGGCATAGTGTTGCATGCAGCAGGTGAGATTGGCAGCTCTAATATTTTTTTCTGCTCTGAAAGAAGTGGTGAGGTCTTTAAAGTGTTGTTATAGCTTGTTCAAAAGAGAAAGGGCAGCATTCCTGGCTGTTTTGTACATTTTATTGATGGATATTATTATTTCATCCCATGACAATAAGTGATAGAAGGTGGCTGCCTTAAGAGCATCCCTGGATGATTGCTGATGCACACCATAAGCCTGTAAGAATACAATCAACTACATTTTCTTCCATGAACACTGAGTTTTTTAGTCCATCTAACTAGTTGTATTCGTCAAATTGAGTTTATAGAAGGTCATTTGTGTTTAGCATTAATGGAGGACAGGAGATCTGGCAGATCCAGTATGAGAGCCTTGTGACCAGAAATGCCTATATTCATATTTTTGTAGGTTGGAAAACCCACAACACAATACATTTATGATGATGTTTAAATGTTGGAGAAATTCACACATTAAGATAAGGCCACCCAATCTAAAGCAGACAGGCAATTGTCGTTTAGGACACTCCAGATATATATTGAAATCGCCTATTTGCATACATTGTACAAAATGGAGCTCTGTAGCTCTGAAAACACAGGTAGAAACCTAATCACTAAGCAGGGATACCAAGTGATTCTTTTGCATTAGAAAATAAGTTAGTCATTCAATAGATTTAACACTCTGCACAGTATATTTAGATCAACATGTAAGTGATAAATGACTTCTGAATTATCAACCCAACCAAGCTTTCATGATTTTTCAACATGGCCACATCCAGTGCCACTATTCTACATAGCCATTCACTATGTACCATGTTTCAGTTTGGCAAAATGCACTCTCTGATTAATAAAATCAGAGCTAGTTAATTATCTGAGTGTTGCAAGTTTGAGAATATAGCTATGGTCAATCATGGTGAAAAATTGTCTATAGGACTAGATGCAACTAACATTGCAGTTAGAGCTTTGCAGTTATATCAGATGTCAGGACAACCAGAGCCAGAGTTGTGCACACATGGTGTTATGGTTGTCTGTGCAGAATTTCTGGCAGGTGTTCAGTAACTCATATTTTATAAATGTTTTTGGCAGCACAGGTTTCAATTTTTTTAATATGCAGATACTGTACATTTGTTTCAACAGCTATGGTGCACTTCACCATAGAACCAGTGTGGAAATGTGGCAGGCCCTGATCTACACATTAAAGTTATCAAAACTGTTAAAGTTGTCAAATGTGACTGCCATGTACATGTCTACTATTCAGAGTGTGAGAAAAACTTAAACAGCATATGTGCCCACCTATATATCATTCAGAACCAGGCTTCTGAAAGTGTATACCAACATAAATTGGGAATCTAATGCTCATAAGTACACTAGATGGATACATGTGATCCAGATGAATCAAACTGAGAGCAACATGCGGGTCATGAACAGTTCAGTCAATGTGAGAAAGACGCATTTCCTTGCAGGGCTCGTTCCACAAAAAAGGGAGAAATAAACTGTTTAAAAATGGCAGATCGAAATTCATGTGTTAGAGCCCATCCAGAGTCATGTGTGTCACATCCGCAGGCTTAAATTCGGTAGTAATAGTCCTCCGGATTTATTCTCGTCACTCCGGTGTGATATGTTTGAGAAGGAGCGAGGCTGTCTCTCCGTCACCTCTGTTGCTCTACTAAGATTGTCTTGCCTGTTTTCCCAGGAGCCCTTTGAGGATGGCTATGCGAATGGTGAGGAACTGACTCCAGCAGAAGAAGCTGCAGCCAAAGAGGCTTCTGAGCCCAAGGGTGTTGTGAAGTTCGGATGGATCAAGGGTGTTCTGGTGAGCATTTACGGGTCCTCTTGTGGAAGTGGCATGCTTTTGCTTCTGGTTTTACTAATTCAAAGTCCTGTATTTCTATGCTACACGTGACCTCTATGGATTTATTAGCATAAGCGCATTAAAGAAATTGTTTGAAGACTTTGGGACCTTTGTTTTTATTGCTTTCTTGTTTTTCTTCAAATTCTCTGGTAATGAGCAAGTGTTCTGGTAACTCTACTTATTTTTTCATGCATGGAATTAAGGCATATACTTAAAGTTACAGTGTTTGTAACGGTGCTTGTGTCAAACTCAGTAAATTCTTTGAGCTAATAAAATGCAGCACTTTAAATTGGTATTGGTCCTTATTTTAGAAAACATGCATGTAGGTAGACTTAATATATTTTTGGTCATCTTTTTTTGAATAGTCTCTAAAATGTTTGTTTCTCTTTTTTGTAGATGTTATACTTTAGATCATCCATGAGATAAATCAGGCAACACTGACACGTATTTCAAGGTTCTTTATTAGGCAATTAGAGATGGAGATCCTCAGTAAAATTACTTTCTTCCTTTAGATGTGTGTACTTCTTTCTGGTAGTACCAACAAGAGAAATAATGGCCTCACTCTAGACCATTAGTTTAATGGCCTAAAGATGTCTCTTTTTCCTCATCAGCTAAAAAAATAAATGGCGTACTGCCATTCCTTGCCTCCTCATTTATATTAGTTTGCACCAGATTGGGTTTAAAAAGTTTCTGAAGCAACGACAAATGCCTGTTGCACTGGTATATGTGCTATGGGTTCCCTAGAGAACCACATACATATCTTCAAATTTCCGAATTTTTCTGCTGTGACACTGACTAAATTGTAGAAATGCTTTTTGTGAAAGAAAAGACAAATAGAGAAATAATTTAAACAGTAGTGCAGACATCACTGTCAGCATCCCCAGGCTACTCTTCCTGGATTTGTGTTCAGCCCTAAAGAAGTCTTTAAGAGGGGGGTTTCTTGTCTTTGTTTACTAAGCTCTTTATTTTGGGCAGGATTATCAGTATAATTTGTTTATATCTGGCCTCCAAAATGTGTGATTTGTAGGATACCTCTGTAGGATTGTGACTTCAGTGAAATTCCAGTTATGTTTTATCACAGTATGTTCTAGTTATGTGCCTTATAGGTTCTAATCACACTGTGTTGCCAAGTCTAGATTCGGGCAAAGCAGGTTCCCAGCCCTATAACCCACTCCCAGTTTTGAGCTAATTTTAGCAGGGTCGAGCGGCGAGTGCTGTAAGAGGAAGTGGTGAGATGGTGGTGTACCTCCTACTCAAGTGTTTTGGAGAGAAAAGGACAAAGAGTAACTGTTGATAAAGGTTAAAAGATAAAGGTGAAGGGATGAAGGTTTGGGAGGTATAATGCAAACCTGTTTGTAAAGAGAGGGAATATAGCCTGAGAGTGGAGCAAAGGAGATTGGGTATCAGAGTCCAGAAGGCAAGTGAAGGGAGAGGAGAAATGGAAGGGGACAGAAGTGAGGGAATGGAGGAAGTCAAGGAATGAGCTATGAGCAGGGAGTGAAAGTTGCAGGAACTCTTTTGAATTTAGAGAAGAAGTCACTAGCTAAAAGGTGAGAGTTCACAAAAAAAGCAAGGACAAAGTGGAGGCTGAGAAGCTGACAGTGGGAGATGGTACAGGATGAAGACAGGATTGAGAAAAGGAAGGATATGAAATACTCAGCAACAGAGAGGGTGGAGGCGGAGCAGTCTGTGGAGAAGATCAGATCCGGCGGACAGCGAGCTTTATGAGTAGACAGAGATGGAGAGAAGGAGAAGTTGAGAATGCATATGGGGAAGTAGGCCAGCTAGGAGTTCCTAATGTGTAACACCTTCAATAACAGTAACAGCTGTGTCCTGCGTTCTGGGACACCAGTTAGTGACAGTTTCTCTAATCTGTCACTAACTTACCTACATAAAGTTTTACATGCTTAAAAAGGGGCATGAATAAATGAAAGAACAAAGGAGATGAAGAAATTGTCCTGTATGATGATTTAAATATATTTAATGTTGAATAAGGGAAAATAATAACTACTTAGCTGATTAATGATACACTCTGCTAAATTTCTGGGCTTTGCTAAATTTCACTCAGATTAATGGTCCTGCACCATTTCCTCTTTGTTTAACGTAGTTCTGTCTTTCTTGTGAATTTATCTACATTTGCTATAATTGACTCCTGTTTTTCATCCAGGCTGTTTTGACATTCATGTAGACTAGACTTTTTTTTTTACAGAATTTGTTTAATCTACAAATTCAAACATCTGCTTTGGCAATTGGACACTGTTCCAAACAATGGAATCGATAACTGTTTTCAATTGTATGTTGAGATATAGAAATTATTTTTCTCTCAAATTAATTTTGTATTTTTGTGCCCTTTTGTATACTTTAACAAAAAGAAAGTCAATGTTCAGGCTACAATATCCATGGTTTAGATAGTGCTTTTAGAACCATGTGAAAGTAATATGGGAATGATTGTTGTATTAGATTTGATACTGATAATCAGCCATAAAAGGTTATGTGCTGAATCTTATTTTAATATTGTTGATTGGGACTTTTGGAAGTACTTAAGTACAGTTTATTTCCCCAAACTCACCGGTATAACTAGTGAAATGTTAGGGAGAAATGTCCTTATGATTTCTAAATGCTTTCTATGATCAGTCTTAAAAGTCCATTAGAATTATTCACAGAGTGGCTGAAAATATTTAAACAGAATTATTTTTTTCTGACAATAGAACTGTTTCCTCTAAATTTAATTCCTGAGATTAAATAATCCCCTCTTTTACATTTCTAAGGCACATCTGTTTTACAGTTTAAAGCCCAGTATAAATGATTGCCTGATCGTATAGTTTTAACTTTTTCTTATTGCCACATTCAACACTTGAATGAAGAATGAGTTTGTGGCATGATTCACGTATCACTGTGTAGAAGAGGATAAATATTTGGCGTTTCTTATTTTTTGTAACAGGGCATATGCCTTTCCAGATACAAAGAAGTTAAAGATGTAGTCCAGAAAATGGAGAAAAAGCAAATAAGATACTATTAATTTTACATGGTCTGTAGTGTTTACTTCCTGACTGTTTGGTAACTTTATGAAATTTGTAAATGTCAGCTGCCAGTATGAGGTGATAAGAAAAACAAATACTTTTTTTTGTGTTTGTATTTATATGAAGAAACTTTTTGTTCAAAATAAATTGATTTATATTATAGTGAGAAGGCAATATGGACATTTTTATTTATGATTTTCTCTCCCATTTGTGTGGTGTGTCATTATAGAACTGTATTGTTTTTACCCTTAAGATCATTCACATGCATATTTCTTACACATCTGTAGGAACTGTACTAATCTGCATTCTGTATGGAATTTTCAACATTTTGTTTTAACTTTTTAACACCAATGAACACTGTGAATAAGAATTATTGCTTGTGTAGAAATTTTCCAATTTAGTCATAGTAAGCATGCTTCCTTGAAAAAACTAGGTTGTTAGATTACTTTGTAATTAGTCCTTTCCCATCAAAGCTATTACATTTTGTTTGCAGCTGGTACCAATTTAGTGTTTTTTTCTGTTTGTTTTTTTCTTTAATGTAATGTAACAAAAACAGCTGTGCTTTCTGTCCTTAGATCCGGTGCATGTTGAACATCTGGGGTGTTATGCTTTTCATTCGCATGACATGGATTGTGGGGCAGGCTGGCATTGGTAGGTGGACGTTTTCACAGTTTGCAAGTCCCTGTTAATTGCAATTTTTAATTTACACTTTAACATTAATCCACACCATTTACCATCAAAATGTTGAATGTCGCTGCAAGATGTTAAGTATAGCAATCTGCCAAAGTCACGTAGAGAAACAAAATCCTAGCATGATTGTAGTAGTTAGTATATCGATGTTAGATTTCTTATTTGGGTTTCAGAGCAGTATTGGTGATTGGGAGATTATAACATAGTAGCTCACAATTACAAAATACATTGCTCTAGGGATCACTTGACAATAAAATAACGAGATTTTGGAGCCTTTTATCCATTATTCCCCTCAGGTTCTGTTCGTTATGATATGCAAGAAATTATTTTTTAACTTGCCTCCACAATTAAAGAAACAAAATATATTTTATCATGTAATATGAGTTCTCGGATCAAACCTATTTCAGTAATTTGCAGTTCCATACGTTGTTTATCTTCCAAAGTCTCAAAGGACTTTTTCATGAATGAGTAATGTATATTCTTTTCATATTTTAACTTCTGTGTCAATTTTTTTCATAATAGTCTTAAACTGTACTGTGCAGCATGTTTTTCAGATTAGATGGACCTGCTCTCTGATCATGATAATCTATACTGAAATAGTCCTTGAACCTGTTGCTTTCTTTTCCAGTTCTTGCATGTGTGATTGTTTTAATGGCTACAGTTGTGACAACCATCACTGGACTTTCCACTTCAGCGATAGCAACTAATGGCTTTGTGCGAGGAGGTATGTACATGTCTTAAACCAGTTCATTACTGTTGCCAAAAAGTTTCATGTTCATTCTTTGTTTAGTAATGGAAGAAAAGCCTTCAAAATCTATTAAAAGGGCACACACGTCAATACAGGAGAAGCGTGCAAGCAGCAGATTTGGCTGTAACTGCAAAATATCACACAGCAGACTGTACAGAAACTGGGCAAGCCGTGCTTCAGTACTGCTGGAATTTGTGTTAATGCTCGCAGACAAAATGAGAACTGCATATTTGCAGTAGTTTAACTTTGTAATGTCTCCTAGAAATTGAAGTTAATATTTTGTCTCTTCTTTCTACTCTTGTCTAAGGAAAGACTCATTTCAGGAAGTGATTTTTTTTGCCTGGGCAAAATGAGGTAGAGTGCCTGACAATACAGTGCATATAAAAGCGGTGTCCCTTTCGCAGTTGTGTAAGAGATTGATTTAAAACTAAATGATTTCAGAAGTATTAAGTACGGAAATCGCACATGTCAATTACCCACTGTTCTGATTGATCATATACTATATAAGGTTCTGGACTTCTTAAATAAAAGTACATTATCATACAATAAATTAAGAAAACCTGATTGATTTATGGCCATTTTGTGTTCTTCCTCTCTTTCGGGGAATTTTTTTTAGGTAGAAGCAAACAGTTGATATCATTTTTTAAAAAGTGTAAACAAAAATTCTAATAGGTCTTAACTTTAAATGAAGTTTAAAGCAGACTGTACTGTCTGGGATATGTCATCGTCTGACCCAACTTATTTTTATAACTGATTTCTTACAAAAATCTAATCTGTTAAAGAATTTAAATCTAGGTTTTTTTTCAGTATCTGTGTTTAATTTCTTTATGCTACTTGAAAACAAAATGTTTATTCCTATATTAAACCATGCAGTTTTTAAATCTCTATAAATTAAGCATTTCTGTGAGACACACTAAGCTTCCTTTGTAAAACAACATCAGTTCTGCAGGAAAGGTAGTTATGCATGTATTACTGCTCTTTGACATTAGCATGAAAAACAAAGGAAGGATAGCACATTAAGTAAGAAAATAACAGAACAGTAATATTCTAGAAAAGGTCCCTAGCTTTGTATGAAGTTGTTTCAACCAAGTCGTAGCTGGATAAATGAGTTATACAGTTTATTTATTTTTTGTATTTTATTAGATACGAGTGTATCATTTTACTTTATCTTACCTGTCAATCTGCCGAAGAAGATTATTTACAGGATATGCATTATGAAATCTCCCTGTCACAAAGCCTGCCACACAGACGAGCTTTAATTAAATGCTCTTTCAGGTACTTGTCATCATACAGTGTTTCTTTCATTAGTGGGTGGACATAAAACATCACATTTTATTTTTAATTTTGTTCCATTGAGAGAGATTATTGAAACTAGGGATGTTTTGAGAGAAGAAGCAGTATTCCTTGCTCTCAGGTGGAAGATTAAAAAAAAGATTATTACTGACATTCATTTAAATTCCACTGGACTACAGAGTAAGGAGATAAGATTCAATAAAAAGGATGAACAACGTTTCATTGTAAGTGACAAATACATCATGAAGACACTAAACAACTCCATGAAAATTGCTCTCGTTGGCAGGTATGTGTGACTTTTCCTTCTCCTGAACCTGCAGTCATTGGCTCTCATGATATACAAGGACCTTTACAAAGTTCTCTATGATCGAGCAGTTATCTACAGCAGAAAGAAAAAGATTTTTAGTTTTTGAAAAGCAGTTGTGAAAACATACTCTTTTCCTGGCAAGAATACATACTGAAGAAGGCACACTAGCATTGCAGTTACTTCTGCCTCACAGCTCTGGGGTTGTACCATTGATTCTGGACTGTGGGGTGTCTGCTGTGTGGATTTCGCTCATTGTCCCCTTGTCTGGGTAGATTCTTTTTTGGTTCTACCATTTCCTTCCTTCTTCCCAAATGTGTGGTGGCTAAGCTCATTTGTGTTTCTAAACTGTCCCCGTGCTTGCAGGGCACTCACACATGGTTCCATGCTTGAGTGCCCTGCAGTGCACTATCATCCCACCTAGGGTGTAGTGCTTTCTTGTGCCCTATATTTTTAGTTGCCAAAGCTCAAAGTGGGGAATACAGTGTTTAACACGGATTGGTTCAAATGGAGGTCATTCCCGCCTGAAAGATTCTTAATTTGTCTGACACTAATGTAGTATAAAGGAGGCTAAAATTGATTGCTTGTAGGAAGGTAGCGGAGCAAGTTGATATTTCCATAAGTAGTCACACTGCAATAGTAAGTAATCTAATGTTATATCGGTGTTCTGAATCCATAGGACTTTGTAAGGCCTACAAAACCAGGTCATGTCCAGTCTGCTTTACTGAATAGTAAAAGGCCAAATGGAAGCAGCCTTGACTTTATTTTAAATCCATCTTCAACAGATCTGGCTTACCAAGAGAAGGGTAGCTATCTGTTACACTTAAACACTGCACATTGAGGTCTTACAAACACTTTTTACATTTTTACTTAAAAATCCGACTTCTGCAAATCTCTGACCTGTGTATTAAGCCCATTCTCAAGTAAGTCCCTTGGCAATCTCTTGAGTGTTCCTGATTGAAGACTTCTTTGTTGGTGTAATTGTCTTTCACTTGTGCGTAGTCTTAGATGTCACAGTCAAGAATCGCCACACCAGCTGGGATAATTGTGATTCATTGAAAATCAATAATCTTGGCTTCCTTGTATGCGTAGACCATTTCTCTGATTCACTGGGAAGTGTACAGTATTTAGTACGAGTGACAGCATACACTGTGTATATGGTCAATTTGAGTTATTTATGCAATCATCAATCAGTGATAGCATGTACTTAAGGAATCCCTGTCCCCTGAGTTTGCAAAACTGAGCATATTGGTTTGCATATTGCGATAATCTGAAAATATCTTGAGGGTACGAATTAATCTCTCTCTAGTTCCTCCAGTGAGATGTAGACAAGAAAAGTTTGTGAGTGAAACCGAAGTTTCAACGTGAAACCTTTGAATCTTGTTCTAATAAGAAAAGTTTAGTATAGTATATTAATTTTTTTAGTCTTTTTTTTCCAGTCTTTTCTGACTAAATCTTTTGTGAGGCTTTAGCAGAAAATGTGTGTAACAATACCCAGGCTCTGCTCATGATTTAGATTCAGGCAGCATATCACTCCACACAAGTACATTAGCAGAGCATTTAAATGATATGAAAATGGGTTTGCAGTCTGTCATTACCTAACCATGAAAACCTTATTTTTTCAAAGTTCATGTGATACGTGTTTTAAGTGATGGGATATTCTAGTCTATCTCTGTTCAGGCTTTTGGCACGTATCTTTGTAGCCTACAAGATTACATTCCTGAGGTGTCTGCATTCAGAAAAAAATAACGAGATTGGGGGAAAAGGCTATTCTTCAGTGTACGAAGTTTAAATTGAGTCTAAATTGCATGAGATTTACAGGTAGCATATTCAAAATTACATTATTGAAATCCTCATATGTGTAAAATTGAACTGAATTATTGTAATGAATTTCATTGATATATTATCCGCATCAATACTTGATTAGCAAAAAAAATAGTGTAAGTTACTTTTTCCAAAGTGGATTAATTTGCCTCTCTGAATGTGTTCTTCGGCCACTTCTAGAACATAAATTACTGATTTTTTTTTTTTTCAGCCAGTGGTGGATCAGGTACTTTCATGTGATTATGGGAGACTGCAGTGCAGCATTTTTACTGTTGACATAGGCAAATAATTGTGCATGAGAATTTGAAAATTGAGTTAAATCGCAGTGCAAACGGCTTATTGTAATTCTTCCAGTCACCTGGCCTTATTGGCTTAATCCTTTATAGAAGTAATCACTTTAGGTATTTCAGCTATTTGTATGCCAGTCCTTGTTTTAACATGTATCAAAATTATACTTAATACAGGCCTTCAAAAACTATTCAGACCCCTCCACTTTTTCCACACTTTGTTGTGTTGTAGACTTATTTCAAAATGGTTTGAATTGATTCTTTGTTGCCATCAATTGACACAATAAATTAATTTGCAAAAGTTCCTAAAAATGTGTTTTCACTTTGTCATTATGAGGTATTGTTTGTCGATTGATGGCAAAAAAGAAAACATTCAATCCATTTATAAATGTCTACAGCACAAAGTGTGGAAAAAGTGGAGGTGTCTGAATACTTTCTGAAGGCACTGTATGTTTATGATGACATTAGCTTCTGTATTGTGAATATCCAGTGAAAGAAAAACATGGTAACACACAGGTAACAATCAGACATTCATTTCTGACAATTATGATAATTTCTAGCTCATTTACAGAGTTTTCAATTTAAAAAAAAAGAAAAGTAAAATATTCAGAGTTAAGCAGTTCTAACTTTTCAGTGCATTTTTAGTTTTACTTTTCCTCTAGTGTGCCACAGTGCTGCTTTTGATTATCATTGTGTCCCTGCAACAACAGGATGCAAATTAGTCTCAGCAAAGCTAGAATAACATTCTGTTTTAACTGTTATTTTCTTTGCTTTGTCATTTGTAGGTGGTGCTTATTACTTGATATCCAGGAGTCTGGGACCTGAGTTTGGAGGGTCCATTGGTCTCATCTTTGCGTTTGCAAATGCAGTGGCCCTTGCCATGTATGTTGTAGGCTTTGCAGAGACTGTCATGGAGCTCCTGAAAGTAAGTAACTTGGATTTCCTGATTTCTCAGTGAATTAAGTGATCTCTTGCCTTAGGAGGACATACTGTATACCAATGCCTTACAGAGCTTTGTCTCCTTGTTTCACTCAGGTTTCTTAGAGACTCCACGCTGGTGTAGAAAAGTGGAAAATGGGGCATTGCTGTTTATTGCTTTGGATGTAGGGTGGGATTTATTTGTAGTACAGATTTTGCTGGGACATTGCCGAACTTAAGAGTTTAATTTGAAGATGTTGTAATTTGTCTCATATAATATGTTATCCCATAGTTACATTCAAGTATAATTCCTTATTATTTCCTTTTCTTCAAGCTTGAAGTATTGGTTAGGCTAAAAAAAATATTCTAACCTTTTGTGCGTGAAAATATCGAAACCCATCAGCTGGTTAGTTCAAAGTTAGGATTGGAATGGAGAGTATTCCCTTCAATGTAGATATATTTTTTTCTAAGTTTGCACAATATAAAGTGCAATAAGTAGTAAAATAAACCAAAGGGAAATAGTTCCCCTTTACATAATACTTTAATTTAGTTGCAGAAAATCAATTATCTTTCTTAAGAAAGAAGTCTTTGCTGCACAGATGCTCAAAGAAGTTAGAAGCTTGAATTCAGGAGAGAGGTCAAGCCTCTGACCAAACGTTCCTCTGTGTGAACATGGGTCATCGATCCTTTCTTCCCCTGCGTTTGACTCTTGAATCTCTCCACCTCCTCCTCTTGGCTGACTCTGCTGAGGGACTTTGTGACTCAACCACGCAGCTTCATGCCCATCCCTCCAGTAGCCACACAATGCCCTTGTGAGGTGCTGTACCTCTGTAGCTGTTGAAATTCCGTATTTAAAAAACGTTGAGATTTTTGCAAACAAATGTTAAAACCATGCCTGATGTCGCTAATTTAAGATTTAACCTGACCTTCCCTCACGACCCTCTTTCCCTGCCATTCACAGGAAATGGACGCGTTAATGATTGATGACACTAATGATGTCAGAATTATCGGCACCATCACCGTTATTGTTCTGTTGGGGATCTCTGTCGCAGGAATGGAATGGGAGGCAAAGGTTAGTCATTCATCTCCACATCACCCCCTGCTGTCTTGTATATTTTATACATAATGTTAGTGCTGTTTGTTTATACACTTCTCTAATAATCTAATGAATGTTTACCTTTTAATGCTGTTCTTTAACATTGGAATCACATTTCTGTCATTAAATGCACCTGTATCTGCCTGCACAAAGGACTTGAATCCATATTATCTTGTACCTCACATTATCCATTAATTAACATGGCAAATAATTGAGAGCAAATTTAAAGGAGCATTAGTGAAATTAAGAATTGTGGAAGGAGGATGTTTTTGAAGAACAGTACTCATTTACAGCTACTTCTGCGGACTTTTGGAGGTTTATATTAAATCATTGTTCTGAAAAACCTGAGTCTAGAATTCACTTTACAACTCTTGTACAATTTTCACATAATGTGAATGCTCATATCAATGCATGCTTGTTTTTGTAGGAGCAAAACCAAAAGTATGGTCTAAGCGATTAATAAAACACGTATCTAGATGTAATACAATACCAGTGAATGTTTTTTTTAAGCTACAATTTGACTTCTTTTAAAGGCACAAATCTTCCTGCTGGTGATCCTGGTAACAGCGATTTTCAATTATGTCATTGGGAGCTTTATCAGAGTAGAATCAAAAGAGCCCAGAGGGTTTTTTGGTTACCAAGGTATGTTCCTCACAGTCATGAACAGCTGTGTTTGTCATCCTAAATTTCAGAAAACTAAAGCCATTTACAAACAATGCTGGTCTAAAACATTAGGAGGCTTTAATTTTTTTTCTGAACATGAAGCGCATATTTACATTTATAATCTGATAGTTAACAAAATTTGTTTAGGATTTAAGATTTTTTTTGTTGATGGGCAAACTGACTTAGTGTTGATTCTATTAGTTCTACAATGTAAAATGTTGTTCTAATACAGTACACTGTCAATATCAAATACTAAATTATGTTCTTTTTTTTAAAACAGTTGATATAATGTTAGAAAACATGGGATCAAATTTTCGAGAAGACCAGACCTTCTTCTCCGTTTTTGCCATTTTCTTCCCAGCAGCAACAGGCATTCTTGCTGGAGCAAACATCTCGGGTGATCTTGCAGTAAGTGCTAAGAAAGTATAAAGCAGGTTAAAACATTGAATCACAGAAGATTTAATTAAGTGACAAAGGCAATTGAAATAAGGCAAGGTCTATGAAATGTCAGCTGATTGGCTGGGCAGTCGCATCTATGTAGTAGTAGTTAGAGCTCTTATCTAACAACTGAAAGGCAGTAGGTTTAAATCTTGGCTTGGTACCTCACTCAAGAAGTTGAAATAAAATGCTCTGTTTTATAAATGGGTAGTGTGAGTAGCAGTGTGGTGCAGTGGTCAGGGTCTGCACTTGTAACTGGAATGATGCAGGTTCAAATCCTGTGATTTGGTGAGACATTGCTGTGGTATCCTTGAGCAGTTTGGGTACTTCACCTGAATTGTTCCAGTAATGTGCCCAGCTGTGTAAATGGGTGCATATACAAGTTGGTTTACATAACAGTGTCAGACAAATATATGTTTATTAGCTGAGTAAAGAAGATGATCAAATGTGTTTCTATATGTTCTTTTCACAAAAAGCATATTATGCAAAACAAATGTTGTATAATGGAGCAAGGAGTAGAAGTAACACTTCTAGAAATAGTCATGCAAACAAAAGTGACTGAGGAAAGAAGCAATAAGTAACTAAAGCTAGATGGATTATTCCAAAGTCTGAGGCTAATTTTAAAACAAGGGTAACTACAGTGTTTGGTTAAAAAGATGTCAATCTGGACATTTTGTTCTGTGCACAAATCCAAACCAAATCTTGGTGTATGGCTTTGTACAGACAGGTGTTGTTAAAAGAACGGTCAAAATTGCAGATGAAACAATGTCAGAAATTATCAAGCCTCATGTGAACATGTGAGAGGGGCTCATGTGTGGAGAATCATCGTGTTGTTGCATCTCTAAAACACAAGCAGGATACTTATATGAAGGAACAGTATCACCCTTTTCTTCAGCATCAAGCAAGAACCTCAGGAGGTCTTTGAAGACTTTTTCAACATGGTCATAGCCCTGAGCCTACAAATAGTTACCACCTAAATTACTTATTTAAGAAATGAGTTTGACCTTAATGACCTTGTATCCCTCTGGGCTGAGACTTAATTAGCCAAATCCATGCAATTTTTAAACCAAAGCATAAAAATGGAGATGGTCAAATTTATCAATTTAATCATTTATCTGTTATTGAATACAGAATAATTGAATAGTGAAATAGTTTAATAGTCATGTCTTTATTTTGTGATGGCATTCTACAATTCTTGTTTTATTATTTTTAGGATCCACAGTTAGCCATACCAAGAGGAACCCTCCTAGCCATTTTGATAACTGGATTAGTCTATCTTGGAATTGCCATTTCTACAGGTTTGCGTGTTTTTGTTTTTGTTATCTGTAATAAACTTGTGTCCTATAATGCGTGGGGGTATACATTCAGATTATATGATTTTTCTCAATGTTCTCTGACCAGTGCTGAACTTAAGACTCTTCCAGCTATGACTGTGTAACAGCAAACATTATGTAAAGCTCAAGGTTGAGCTCCACCACTAAAATTCTAGGTTTTTGGTTTATTTTAGAAATGGTCCTAGTTTACCAGCACTTGAAATTAGGAGATAGCAAGCCAGCTCCAGCTCATTTATTTCCAAGACTAGCTATTCCCATAACCAAGGATAGTGACTTTGAATAAAAACAGAAGAAGTTTTCAAACTCAAAACAAATCTCTCTCAATCATCCCTCCCTTTCTCTTTATACACAACAATAAAAGGACAGAAACAATATTGAAACTAGTTTAGCATCAATTAGCACCACATCGTGGTATTATGTGGCCTATTTTTCAGTGGACGGCTGTTGGAATTCCACTTCTAGAAATAGTGAAAACATTTACATGACTGTATCACTGCATTTACTCACTTATTATTCATAGTGAA